AAAAATCAACATTCTTTCTGTTGGAAGTTCTTGATATAAGATTAAGAGAGTTGGGGAAAAAACAAGAGAGAGAGAAAACAAATGAAAGGGGAAAATCCCACATTGGTTGGGGGGAAAAGGTTTTTCCTTGTTTTTATTTTGTAGTGTCTTAACACTACTTAGTTGAGTGAGTGGGAGGTAAGTGTTACTCCACACACGCGCGCGCGCCGGGCCGGGTCGGGCTTGGGACTTGGGTCTTGGGGAATGCGATGCGTGGGCGTGGGTCCTTGTTATTTTTTTTTGGAGAAATTTTATTTCCTTTTATTTGTTAAACAAAATATTCTTTTTTGTCTGTTGTTTTATGTTTTCATAGCCAAATTCGTCCCTTGTTTTCTTAGCCAGATTTGTCCATCGTTTTATGTTTCACGTCTCCCTTCTACTGCCTATATATATTCGTTATTTTTCCCAGTAAAAAACACAACTCAATCACTCTTCTCTAAACAATTATCTAAACACGATTTCTTTCTGTTCTGTTTTCTGGGCAAATATTCTGAGTTCCATTCGGGTTTGTGATTGCACATAAACTCCGGCACCATGCTTATCCTAGAGGGCGACCGCTTCTAGTCTACTGCACCGAGAGGTAGCGCGGAATCGTCTTTTAGGTCAGTGGTTTTCCACGACGCGGCTATTGTCAGTTTGGTTCACGCATCAAGAGATAAGTAATTTTTGTTTTATTGCTTAGTAGTTTAACACTTTCTTCCGAACCAACATTCATGGAGATTCAATCCAAGATTGTGGACCAACACTAGAGGATCAACGTTTGATTCAGGTTTCGTTTTCCAAGCAAGAAATCGATGGTAGCATTGGAATCACACGTTAAATGTCTTAAAATGACTTTTCAAGTCGAACAATATTCTACACGCAAATCGAAATATTGGATGTTTAAGAGGATAATTTAATATTTTCCTTAATTAGGTATACCAACGAAAAGACAAAAATTCAACAACGTACCAATGGTAAAAAACCAATTCTTGAATACTGTTTTTTTTACAAGCAGCCACATGATATGGCCAACTGAACACTGGTCAACTGCACACAAAACACACAGAAAATATAATGCACTCTAATTTTGTTTTTATTAAAGTGCCCTATTTTGACTTGATAGCATTTACGTGCACTATTTTGACCAAAGTTTTTGCTTTATAAACAAGATTTAATATAATCATGTGGGTCGAGGTGGCAATTCAGGTCAATGGGTCGGATTTGGTTGGTTTCGAGTTGTGCTTAAAAACTATCAAAACTAATGTAAAACTTAATGTTATTAAAAAAAATATGATATTTGGGTCAAATCAGGTTGATTCTGGTTGTTTGGGCTTGGGTTTCTCTCATTAACTTCGGGTCGGGTTAGGGAATGTTAGTCCATCATGTGGATACTTGTAAGAATCGTCGAAATGCGTACTTTTCAAATACTCCATGAAAAGGAAGGATTTGTGATATGGAAGAAATAGGTGAAATTGTTGTTGCGAAGAAAATTTTGTTTGTAACAAAAAATTCTGATGATGAGCCTGTCAGTGAGACTTTGAGTAAGCAGGTGGAGGAGCCTATTTCGAAGACTTTAATGGGGACTGAAGGTGTGAACAATGGGGAGCTAATAGTGCACACAACACCTGATGGGGATAGGACTGAAGAGCATGACAATGCGGTGGGCAATTTTACTGGAACACCAGGGAGTGATGAGAGTGGATCGGGAAGAAATAAAATATGGAAGAAGGTGGAGAGGGCAACAAGGGAATATGATAGTGTGATGACAGAAGCTTATAATACTGTGGAGTTAGGGAAGCGTGCTAGGGAAGGGGGTAAGGTGGAGAAGGCAGTAGCAAAAAATCAAAAAGTGAAGGAGGGTAGTATTTCTTCTGGATGGCGGGAGGCCTAGCTCAATGAGTATACTAAGTCTTAACTGTAGAGGGCTGGGCAATCCCTCTACAGTTAGTTGTCTCCGAGACCTTATTCGGAGAGAGGCCCCGTCTGTGATATTTTTATCGGAGACGAAGTTGAGTGCAACAGAGTTTAATAAGGTTCGAACGAGGATTGGTGATTTTGAGGGTCTTGTGGTGGATTCTATGTGGAGGTCTAGTGGTCTGGCTATGTTGTGGCGCAAGGGGATTGACATTGTTCTTCGATCGATGTCGGTTCACCATATTGACGTGGAAGTTAGGGATGGTCTGGGAGATATGGTATGGAGACTTACGGGTTTCTATGGTTGGCCGGAGATTCAAAATCGTGTTTTTTCATGGAAGCTGCTTGAGGATCTTGCATCTCAATCACAATTGTCGTGGGTTTGTTTGGGGGACTTCAATGAAATTTTATTTTCGGCAGAAAAATTGGGGAAAAATGACAGAGCAGAGTGGCAAATGGAGAATTTCTGGAGGGATTTGGCAGTATGTAGGCTTCGAGATGTCCCTTACTCGGGGTATAAGTATACATATGATAATGGTAGAGAAGGGGGTGAAAATACGCAATGCCGGCTTGATAGAGCACTTGTTATTGAGGATTGGATGACTTGCTTCCCGGATGCTCATTTATTTCACCTCGATAGGGATTGGTCGGATCATGCACCAATCAAACTTGAGCTTGGTACGAGAATGAAAGAAAGGCCGAGAGAAAAACCATTTCGTTTCGAACAGATATGGCAATCTGATGAAACTTGTGAGAATGTCATTGAAAACGCTTGGCTGGGAGGCTTTAATCTAGAGTCAAAGTTGGAAATGTGTGCAGCCGACTTGAAAGAGTGGAGTATGAAGAAGTTTGGGGAGGTGTTTAAAGAGCTAAGCAAAAAAAGGAAGCAACTTAATAAGCTCAACAAAGGAGGCTTAACTGTTGCCCAATCAGAGAAGAGGCGTCGGCTTGTGCGTGATATCGCAAACCTGGTGCAACACGAAGAAATTTATTGGCGGCAAAGGTCTCGGGTTTTATGGTTGGATCGGGGGACAAAAATACCAGATTTTTCCATCAAAGGACATCAGGTAGAAAAGATAAAAACACAGTCCGAAAGTTGGTGGATGATGAAGGGGTAGTTCAACTCGGGGAAGATAATATTAGCAAGGTGGCAGTGAGTTATTTTAAAAATATGTTCTCTACCTCTAACCCTCCCCTGATAATGCAAGCAGTACAAGATTTTCAGAGCCGAGTCACAGTTGATATGAATAAGATTTTACAAGCTGAGTATACGGAGGACGAGGTAAAATGTGCTCTTGATCAGATGCATCCAATTAAAGCCCCGGGGCCTGATGGGATGTGCCCGCTGTTCTTCCAATCTTACTGGAATATTGTTGGCCCATCGATTTTGAGTACTGTATTGCCCATCTTAAGAGGTATGCCTATGCCTTCGTATTTGAACAAAACTTTTATTGCACTTATTCCTAAGAAGAAGAATGCGGAGAGTATGGCGGATTTTAGGCCGATTTCCTTGTGCAATGTGGCTTATAAACTTGTGTCGAAGGTTCTAGCAAACAGATTAAAAGTGTTTCTTGATAAAATTACTTCGGTTAATCAAAGTGCTTTTACCCCGGGGAGATTGATTACCGATAACATTTTGGTTGCGTTTGAATTGTTTCATCATATGAAAAATTCGACACAGGTTGAAGGGAGTATGGCGATGAAACTTGATATGTCGAAGGCCTATGATCGGATTGAGTGGAGTTTTTTGGAAGTGGTTTTGGAGAGGTTTGGCTTCGATCAAAGATGGCGGGAATGTGTTATGGATTTTGTTAAATCCGTATCTTTCTCCATATTGGTCAATGGGAAACCGATGGAGGAATTAATTCCGAGTAGGGGGATTCGTCAGGGTGATCCAATATCACCGTACTTATTTATTCTGTGTGCGGAGATTTTTTCTCATCTGTTGAGACAAGCTGAGGAGAGAGGTAGCTTGAGGGGGGGGGGGGGGGTGAGAATTGCTCCGTTGGCTCCATCGATTAATCACTTATTATTTGCCGATGATTGTATTATTTTCTCTAGAGCTTCGGAGATAGATGTGTCTGCAATCCAAGATGTGCTTAGCCTGTATGAAGGGTCGTCAAGGCAAAAGGTGAATTTTGATAAGACTACCTTTTCGTTTAGTAAGGGGGTGGCTCAAGGGAGGCGTGTGGAGTTGGCGAGTAAACTTGATGTCAAGCTTGTTGATATACATGAACGGTATTTGGGTCTTCCAACAGTGGTGGGAAGGTCAAAGAAAGTGATTACGAAGGGAGTAAAAGAGAAGCTGTGGAAAAAGCTTCAGGGGTGGAAGGGGATGGTTCTATCTAAGGCAGGTAGGGAGGTTATGATAAAGGCGGTGGCCCAATCTCTCCCTACTTATGAGATGAGTGTGTTTAATTTTCCATTCTCTTTTTGTGATGAGATTCGTTTGCTAGTAGCACAGTTTTGGTGGGGTCAAAAGCAAGGTGAAAGGAAGATCCACTGGTTAGCATGGAGGAAATTATGTAGGCCAAAGAGTGAAGGCGAGTTAGGATTTCGTGATTTTAAAATGTTCAATTGGGCCCTTCTTGGAAAGCAAGCATGGAGATTGATTATGAAGCCGAATAGCCTACTTGAACAAGTGCTTAAAGGGAAATATTATCCGTCGTCTTCTTTTATGGAGGCTGAATTGGGGAATTGTCCAAGTTATACTTGGAGAGGGATTTGGGAGGCAAGATGGGTAGTGAAGAGGGGTCTTCTCTGGAGAGTGGGTAATGGAGACTCGATCCGTGTGTGGGATGATCCATGGATACCTCACACACAATCATTACGGGTGTTGTCTTCGAAGGGGTTGAACAACTCGAATCTGGTTGTTAGTGATCTAATTGACCCTGTGAGAAAGTGTTGGGATGCAACAACAATTTCAGCTACTTTTCTGCCGATTGACCAAGACAAAATCTTGAGTATACCACTGAGTGATAGGCTGCCAGAAGATACCCTCTGTTGGGATTTGGAGAAAGATGGCACTTATTTGGTTTGATCTGCCTATAGGACTCTTTTTGATGATGAATTCGTCCCCTAGAGTGATATGGAAGAAAATTTGGAATACTAATGTACTGCCAAGAGTAAAAGTTTTTATGTGGAGAGCGTGTCAAAATGCTCTTCCCACTCGCAAAGGCATTGGTTCCCGAATTTCTGGCTATGATACTACATGCTACGTGTGTCACCAAGAAGTAGAAGATGTCCTCCACGCTATCAAGGAGTGTGCGCTTGCTCGTGATGTGTGGAGGTGCAGCAATTACAAGTTTGTGCTTTCCTTAAAATTTCGAGATGTTGTGGATTGGTGGGAGTATTTGTTGAAGGAAGTGGATGAGGTTGATGTGGAGATTATGTTTACGATTTGCTGGGCTATTTGGGGAGCTCGAAATTCCTTTGTAATTGAAGGCACACAACCGGACTCAATGAGTATTATTGCCTATGCGCTGAAGGTGTGTGGGGAGGTCAGGGACGTGAGAGCTAATGGAGGAAAAGGGGCAATATTGAAGGTTGTGCAATATGCTGAGAGGTGGAGTAAGCCAAGTGAGGGGTGGGTTAAAATGAACGTGGATGTGGGGGTGTTAGGAGAGGCAGGGACTGGTCTTGGGGCTATTGCCAGAGATAGTAATGGAGTAGTATTGTGCGCCGCTGTGCATCATGTTAAGGAGAGGTGGGGGGTGAAGGAAGCAGAGGCTAAGGCAGTATGGTGTGGGCTTCAGTTGGCAAGGGATAGGGGGATTAAGAGGGTCGTGTTGGAGAGTGATAGCCTGCTGGTGGTCCAAGCTTTGCGAGGAGCTAGTGCAGGGCGTAGTACTTTTCACTTGCTTATAGAGGATATTACAAATGTTGCTGCTAGTTTTGATGATGTTAAATGGTCTTTTGTAAGGCGTAATGGTAATCGTGTTGCTCACTATTTGGCTCATTTCCAACCCTGGGATTTGGGACAAAGAATGTGGGTTGATCACTTACCAAATGATGTAATTGCTCTTGTTGCTAATGATATAATATAATCCCCAATGTGAGGGGCTTTTCAAAAAAAAAAAAAAAACTCCATCAACTTTTTATAATTTAAACTTATCGATAATTAAAGATATTATTACTCAAAGTTATGATTTGACAAATATACCGATTAAATTGAGGCATTTAAATAAAAATAGAGGGAGTAATAATTGAAATTATAGATAAATAAGACGGAATGCTTGTATAATTGTATGCTTCTTTTTAATCATATATCGTTGCCAGTACAAACTACAAAGGATTGTTTTGTTCTTTCATAACTTGACTTTGAGTTTAATAATTAGTCTTTCTGCTGGTGGTTTTTTTGTTTTGTTTTTTTTTTTTTTTTTTGAAAGGGTCTTTCTCCTGGTATTGTTCCTCGTATAAAATACTCATTCAATGATAGATCCACTAATTAAGTTTTTTTTTTTGTTAAGGAATTGGTGTTTAGCATCAACTACCAAGGCAGAGGCAAGCATTTCCTCACGTTGTGACCTATGAAACTAGACAAGTGCATATCACGTTTACAATTTTTTTTTTCTTTGAGAAGAACATTATTGTTACTTTAATTGTAATCAAAACTCAAAAGTATCAAATTTTTGAGGCATTTAACGAGATAATTGTTATCCACTAACAATTGCATAATGAGAGGCAAGGGTGTAATTACACGTAAATGTATATTCTAAATTTAGGGTACTACTATTGGGTGATCAAATAGTTTCACAGAATATTCAGTGTTATTATATATGTATGTTGTGATACTATATATACATATAGTAGTACTGACTACGTTCTGATATAATATCACTAAATAACTAACGTCGATGTCCATCTCTTTCCCCTCATTAGAAAGGAAGGAATTTCTAATTTGAATTGTTGTGATTTAATTGAGGAATTTGAATTGAAATGAAAAGTGAGATTTGATGATGGGAGGAGAGTGCGACTCGGTATGATTTCGGTGGCGTTTGGTTCGTTAATGTTCTTCTATTTGGAAAACGAAGAAATTGAGAATGTGTAGAAGGTTGTCTGGTGAGCGTTTTGGTAGAAAACACAAAAATTAAATCGTTTTGGCCCTTGATGCTTGGGGCTTTGGGCTTGCTGCTTTGGGCCAGACAAATTGAGATATGGCAATTGGTATTACATGCACCATGGTGCACCAAGCCCAATCTGCTGCCCAGCCCAAAGGTATCTGCGCCCAACACAAGCCTGCGCTAGAGCTGTCAAAAGCTGACCCGACCCGAAATACCGACCCTAACCCTAACCCATCTGAACCCGAAAAAAATGATGACCCGAACCCGACCTGAAACCAACCCTAGACCCGAGTTGACCCGAGTATTTGAGACCCGAACCCGACCATAACCCGACCTAGAGAGGACCCGACTCGAATGTGACCCGTAAATTATTGACCTGAACCGAACCTGACTCGAACCCGAGAATGACCCAAATCCGATTTAACCCGTCAAAACCCGAATTCAACTCGACCTGTTACTGACCCGACCCAAGGTCAACCCGGCCCGTTCCTAACCCGACTCGAATTTAAACCCGACCTGTTACAAACTCGACCCGAAATCAACCCGACTTGTTTTTGATCCGACCCAAATTCTACCCGACTTGTTATTGCCCCGACCCGAATTTAAACTCGACTTATTACTAACCCGAATTTAAACTCGACCTATTACTAACCCGAATTTAAACGTATTTGAGGCTATATGAGGTGAGTGAGGTGAATCGATGATAGTGATTTTGTCTAATTAAATCAGCCAAATGATTTTTTTTTTTTCTAAATTTATCTTCAAAATAAACTTCCATATAACTACTTATAGTGGTTAGAGCTTCTCTCCCGGTTCCAGAAAGGCTTGGGATCGATTCTCACCCCCCGCCCTTGTGGCTCTCTGTACACCAAAAAAAAAAACTTATAATCCTTTTATTGATCCTTTTTTTTTTCAAATTTTAGTATTCACTTGTTTATTTTAATATTTTTTTAAATGTTTTAAATTATGCAATTTGATTTGGAGCTTTAAATAAAAATTTTAAAAAAAAATTATTGACTTGAACCGAACTCGACTCGAACCCGAGAATGACCCGACTAGTAAATGACCTGACGTGATTATAACCTGCAAATTATTGACTTGAATCGAACCCGACTCGAACCCGATAATGACCCGACCTGATTATAACCCGCAAATAATTGACTTGAACCGAACCCGACTCGAACCCGAACAGGACCCTAACTCGTTTAAACCCGTAAAAACCCGAATGTAACCCGACCTGTTTTTCACTCGACCCGAATGTAACCCGACCTTTTATTGACCCGACCTAAACCCGACCCAAACCCGATAAGATTTATGACCCGACGTGACCCGACTCAAGCATGACCCAACCCGAACCCGACCCGCATAGGTCCCGACATTAACCCGTACTAACCCGACCCGAGATGACCCGACCCACACTAACCCGGCTCAAACCCGACCCATTTACCTGAATTGACAGCTCTAGTCTGCGCCCAATAGAAAGAAGCCCAGCCATTTTTTTCACCATTGAATTTTGATATTCTCTTTATTATTTGAAAATCTAAATTAAAACTATAAACAACTATTTTCGATTTTAATCTCTCCTTTTTTTTTTGGATATTATTTTTTGTTTTCCTCATTAATAATTTTGGTTTTTTTTTAACCTCTAAATTACTGGAAGCTCTAAAATTTTCAACAAAAAATGGGAAAAAACTCTACTTTCTCTATCCACTTTAATATAAATTTTCCTGTATTTTGTTAAAAAATGAAAATTTGCTTCTTTGTTTTTTTGGAGCTTTTTAACCAATTTTGGTGGATTGTGCAATAAAATTTGCAAATCAGATGTTAATCGTTCCATATCCCTCATATTTTTGTTCATATATTTCTTGTTTGATGTTCATATAAGTTGTCTTTTATGTCCATATATATGTGCTGTATGAAGAAATAATTTGTGTATAAATTTTATCAAGTATTTGGTATGAATAATAATTTATTTGGATGTTGTGTATTTCCTCTTTTGTTGTTTAATATTTATTTATAGACGAACTACTGAACACCTTAAAGAAACTTTTGATCGAATATCCCCCAAAAGCCCCAATAAATTTATGATAAGCCCCCAGAATTTTCTGATAAGCCACTAGAAAACACTGAACCAACCTGAAAAACCTCTGAACCCCCTAGAAAAATTTCTGAACCCCAATTACAAACCACAGAACACTCTTCAAAAACATTTTAACCACCTTGAAAAACCTTTGAACTCTAACCACAAACCATTGAACACCTTACCAAAACTTATGAACCTCCTACAAAAAATTTTGAACCCCAACCACAAACAACTGAACAACCTACAAAAACTTTTGAACCCCAACCACAAACCACTAAACACCCTACAAAAACCTCTAAACCCCCTACAAAAATTTTTGAGCCCCAACCAAAAACCACTGAATACCCTACAAAAACTTCTAAACCCTAACCACAAACCACTGAACACCCTACAAAAAATTATGAGCTCCAACCACAAACCACTGAACACCTATAAAAACTTTTGAACCCCAACCACAAACCACTAAACACCCTACCAAAACCTCTGAACCCCCTACAAAAACTTCTGAACCCCAATCATAAACCACTGAACACCATACAAAAACCTCTGAACCCAGCATAAAAACTTCTGAACCCCAATCACAATCCACTGAATACCCTACAAAAATCTCTGAACCCCCTACAAAAATTTCTGAACCCCAACCACAAACTACTAAACATCCTTCAAAAACTTCTGCACGTGAAAATACTGCTCAGAATGTTGCTCAGCCTTTAGACTTTCCTTACAAACAACTTCATATATTATAACTGCAATAAACAAACACAATTCATAATAACCATTGCTAGAGTTCAAAACACTGACGGAAAAATTCCGTCGAAAATACCTTGAAATCCGTCGGAAATAGGGTTTCCGTCGGAAAAGGTTGTCGGAAAAGCAGTTGTAGGAAAAGTGAACTTTCCCGACAAAAATTCCGTCGAAAAAATATTTTCAGACACTGCAACAGTCCGTCGGAAATTCCGACGGATTCAATTCGGTCAGAATTTTCTGACGGAAAATTCCGTTGAAAATTGCTTTCTGAAATTTAAATAAAATACGCCTCGCCACCACCGACACGGCTTATCACCACCTCAACCACCAAAATACCCAACATCAGACAACGCCACAACCACAAGCCGCTAACTCGTATCAATAGTCCCGAACCACCCCACAACCCACAACCACCAAATCTACCACCCCACCCACAACCACCAGATCTATCACCCCACCCATAACCATCAGATCTACCACCAAACCCGAAAAAATTAACAAAAAACAAAGATAAAAACTTAAAACCCGAACGAAAAATTAAAACACAACGAAAAAAAATTAACAAAAAATGAAAACAGACCACCGCCGCCACCTATCTAAAACCACCGCTGAAACCCAACATCAGACAACCGCCAAAACCCGAAAAAATTAACAAAAAAAGAAGAAAAAAAATTAAAATCCCAACACCCTAAACCCGAACTTCAACAGCCACCATAACCACATATTTTCGATCGAGTAAACTTGAAACCCGAAAAAAAATGAAAACAGAACAAAATAAGTTGAAATCCAGACCAAAAAACTTACCACAACGATTCAAAGTCTTGAAATTGGTCTTAAAATTGGTTATATAAGGCCAAATTCGACCATGGAAATGCTAGATCTAGCATTTCCATGGTCGAACTTGACCTTAAAACCACAACATGCCGGGAACTTGGTCAGGAAATACATCGGGGTGCTTTGTGGGCTAGCTTCGGAATTCAACAATGGAGGAGAGATAAAGAGAAGAGAGGAAAGGTTCATTAAAGTAACCTAAATGTTCATAAAAATAGAAACAATGTTCATAATATGATACTGCTAATAACAATTTTGATAATATATACAATGAAAAGTGCGTTACTCGAATTATATGAACAAATTGTTCAAAAACATGATA